CCTTTTTAGACTCGAGGTTTTGTCGCTTCGTTGATTTATTTGTTAGTTATTTATTTTAAGATCTGACACATGCAAAAACAACGAATTATATTTTTTGTAATATTCGGGATCTACTGAATATTCGGCGACCAATTTTATTCCGCCGAATATTGCAGAAAGTGGCGCGTTCAGTGAGTTAAAAGTCAGACCGAATGTGACGCAATGACGGTTTCATTTTGTGGAAACCGTCTGACCTCGCAGCATTAGGATTCGTTCGCTCGACGGTGGGCAGGTACATTTTTATTTAACCAATCGCTGCTGTTTGGTCGTCGCGTATGTAATGCACCAAATCCTGTAGAAAGAAAAGCAATAACGTCTTTCCTCTTGAAAACATTCTCTTGGTTCCGGCTTTAAATCCTTGATCCCGGAAATCATTGTCAAAACAGAATATGTGTCTCTTCGCTGCCCGAACTCGACGGTTTTTGTGAACCGTCTAGTGTATTTTGATTTGGAGATTATATTTGTGATGAGTCATGTAAAATTATTTATTTATTATTTATGAAAATATCCAGATAAACATTATTATTATTATTATTATTATTATTATTATATGTTTAGTAATTTAAACCTAAGTCTAAACCGGGTCTAAACCAGGACTAAACTAAGACTAAACTAAAGCATGTAATGTAAACAAGCCCAAAATAATAATAATAAAAAAATAAAAAAAATTAAAATAAAATAATAATAACAATAATAATTATTATTATTTATTTTTTTATTTATATATGTTTAGTAATTTAAACCTAAGTCTAAACCAGGACTACATCAGGTCTAAACCAGGTCTAAACTAAAGCATGTAATGTAAACAAGCAAACAAGCCCAAAATTATTATTATTATTATCATTATTATTATTGTTGTTATTGTTTTATTTTATTATTACTATTTTTTTTATTATTATTTATATATGTTTAGTAATTTACTTTAGTAGTGTAATAATATAATAATATAATATAACTCGTCTTTTCCTGTCCTAGTCTATTATAAAAGTGGGAGGGCATCTGATTTAAAATATACAAAAATATGTAAAAAATAAATAAATAAAAAAATCAAACTTTAAGGCCCAAAAACTCCAGAAATTTGTCATTTAAACCCACTTTAGTATTTTTTTCTTCTTCATTTTTCAGATTTTTTTTTAACACTGTACATTACGTCTCGACTTTAACGCTTAAACGTTCTACCGCAGACATCCACGTAGAACCCCTCCCCACATCGCGGTAATGCCACCTGTCCGCCGCTGGAACAATGTACGGCCGAAAGTGGACGTAAAAACACCAATTAAATCGGTAATTGTTTTAAACGCTCTGGAGTCCCGTATTTACCCCATAATATTTTGCAAACTCTGGTCCTGCGTTATTTCAAAATAACAGCTCTTTTCTTTAATTACCGATCACAAACGAAGGCGTGACTCTGTTTATATCATTTCGTTTGCCACTTATAATTTCGCTCGGCTGCCGTACGGAGTTCTTAATTACATTTATGGGCCCAAACTTCGCCTCTCGTTGTCATGGCGATCGCTTCTGTCCAAATGTGTGTTTTGTTTTGGCGTAACTTTGACAGACGACGAGGGTAATTTAAACTGTGATTTAAACTGTGAGGAGTAACTCTGTCTCTGAAACAGGACTAAACCAGGACTGAAACAGGACTAAACAGGACTAAACCAGGACTGAAACAAGGACTAAACAAGGACTAAACCAGGACTAAACCAGGACTAAACCAGGACTAAACCAGGACTGAAACAGGACTGAAAACAGGACTGAAACAGGACTAAACAGGACTAAACCAGGACTAAACCAGGACTAAACCAGGACTGAAACAGGACTAAACCAGGACTAAACCAGGACTGAAACAGGACTAAAACAGGACTAAAACAGGACTGAAACAGGACTAAACCAGGACTAAAACAGAACTAAACCAGGACTAAACCAGGACTGAAACAGGACTAAACCAGGACTAAACAGGACTAAACAGGACTAAACCAGGACTGAAACAGGACTAAAACAGGACTAAAACAGGACTGAAACAGGACTAAACAGGACTGAAACAGGACTAAACCAGGACTGAAAACAGGACTAAAACCAGGACTAAAACAGGACTGAAACAGGACTAAACCAGGACTAAACCAGGACTGAAACAGGACTAAACAGGAAACAGGACTAAACAGGACTAAACAGGATTACAGGACTAAACAGGACTAAAAACAGGACTAAACCAGGACTGAAAACAGGACTAAACCAGGACTGAAACACTAAACCAGGACTAAACAGGACTAAACCAGGACTGGAAAACAGGACTAAACCAGGACTAAACAGGACTGGAAAACAGGACTAAACCAGGACTTAAACAGGACTAGGACTAAACAGGACTGAACGAGGACTAAAACAGGACTAAAACAGGACTCTAAACGAGGACTACATCAGGTCTAAACCAAGGACTAAACTAGGACTTTAAACCAGGACTAAACCAGGACTAAACCAGGACTGAAACAGGACTAAACCAGGACTAAACCAGGACTGAAACAGGACTAAACCAGGACTGAAACAGGACTAAACCAGGATTACACAGGACTCAGGTCTAAAACAGGACTAAAACAGGACTGAACGAGGACTAAAACAGGACTAAAACAGGACTAAAACAGGACTAAAACAGGTCTAAAACAGGTCTAAACAGGAGGACTACATCAGGTCTAAACCAAGACTAAACTAGGTTTAAACCAGGACTAAACCAGGTCTAAACCAGGATTAAAACAGGACTAAACTCAGACTAAACCAGGACTAAACTAAGACTAAAATAGGTTTAAACCAGGACTATACCAGGACTATACCAGATCTAAACCAGGTCTACATCAGGTCTAAACCAGGTCTACGTGAGGTCTAAATCAGGTCTAAACCAGGACTAAATTAGAACTAAACCAGGACAACACCAGGTCTAAACCAGGACTACTTCAGGTCTAAACCAGGTCTAAACTAAGTCTAAATCAGGACTAAACTAAGACTAAACCGGGACTAAAATAAGACTAAACCAGGACTATGTCAGGTCTAAACCAGGACTAAACCAGGACTACATCAGGTCTATGTCAGGACTACTTCAGGTCTAAACCAGGACACCAGAAAAGTTCCACAATGTTCTTTTAAAATCCGTATTAAATAATTGAACCCTGCACATTTGTTCACATTTTAGACGAAAATAAACCTCCTTAACCTTCACGTTAACTTTAATTTTACGGCATTATTCCGTCGTCTTTTTTTTTCGTCGTTGTCGTCGTCTGAAGTCGATCCGGGCCAGGTCTGCGCTTTAGTTCTGGTTTATTAAGTTCGGTCGTCGTGGAAACAGCAGGTACAGAGACGGGCCTTGACTCGGAGCCAAAATGGCGTCCGGCGCATTTGTTTGTGCTGACGTCCCAACTGTTTCACTTGGACTCTCTTCTCTTTCCCGAGGAGACGAGATGGGACGCGGCCAAAACCCCGCTCCATTATTATTATTCTACAGCCTCGTGTCGCCGTTTGAAGAGTTCATTTGTAAAAAATTAAATTAAAAAAAAAAACAAAACAGATAAATGCAGTTTGAAAAAGTCGTATATTTTAACTCCAAACTAAATATTGTTCTTTTCTCCTTGATTAAATCCACTGAAAATCTGAAGAGGATGGAAAAAACGGAACAAAAATACACATGTAAAAAAATACACATAAATACACAAATAAAAATAATTTAATTCTGAATAAAAATGTGTTCCGCTTTAAAAAGATAATGTAAACACTTAATTCCTAATGAAAATGTTTGTTCGGAATTAAACTTGATTCTGAAGTAAGTCGTTGGTTTATTCCGACAAATTCATTTATTCCTCAATCATGTAAACGTGACAGGACTAAACCAGGATTAAACTAAGACTAAACCAGGACTAAACTAAAACTAAACCAGGACTAAACTAAAACTAAACCAGGTCTAAACTAAGACTAAACCAGGACTAAACTAAGACTAAACCAGGACTACTAAACTAAACAGACTAAACTAAACAGGACTAAACTAAACTAAACCAGGACTAAACTAAGAACTAAACCAGGATTAAACTAAACCAGACTAAACCAGGAAACTAAGACTAAGGACTAAATAACCAGGACTAAACTAAGACTAAACCAGGACTAAACTAAAGACTAAACCAGGACTAAACTAAAGACTAAACCAGGACTTAAACTAAGACTAAACAGGACTAAACTAAGACTAAACCAGGACTAAACTAAGACTAAAAAGACTAAACCAGGTCTAAATTAAGTCTAAACCAGGACTAAACTAAGACTAAACCAGGACTAAACTAAGACTAAACCAGGACTAAACTAAAACTAAGACTAAACCAGGACTAAACTAAACTAAGACTAAACTAAAGACAGGACTAAACTAAACTAAACCAGGACTAAAACTAAACTAGACTAAACCAGGACTAAACTAAAACTAAACCAGACTAAACTAAACAGGACTAAATTTAAGACTAAAAACCAAACCAGGACTAAATTAAGAGACTAAACTAAACAGGACTAAATTAAGAAGACTAAAACCAGGACTAAATTGAGACTAAACCAGGACTAAATTGAGACTAAGACTAAACTACCAGGACTAAATTAAGACTAAACCAGAACTACCTCAGGACTAAACCAGGACTAAATTAAGACTAAACCAGGACTACATCAGGTCTAATAAATAAAGACGGTTTAATGAGTTTTCCATGTAAACCTCAATTCGGAATTATTTTTTCCATGTAAACTCGAAGGAGAAATATTAATTCGGAATTAAAAAACATCATGTAAACGTGGCCGGTGATCTGATTTTTTTTCTTTGTTTTTGAGCAGAACATGTCTTGCCCCAGTGCTGATATATACAGAGAATCAGGAAGTGTGTCATTTGCATTATAACATCGATCAGAAAACGGCGTAACCTCGACATTTTAACCAACCTCCGTCTGTTTTTCCAGGTACGACTTCATCGAGATCCGAGACGGGACTTCGGAAAACGCGGACGTCCTGGGGCGTCACTGCAGCAACATCGCTCCCCCTCCGATCATCTCGTCCGGTCCGGCTCTGCAGATCCGGTTCGTGTCCGACTACGCCCACCAGGGGGCCGGCTTCTCTCTGCGCTACGAGATCTACAAAACCGGTAAGAATCTGAGCGGGTTTTTATTTCGACGCCGACGGGAAAAGCAAGTTTGTGTTTACGGTTTGTGTTCGAGTTGAAGATCTAAGTTGTTTGGCGGCTTCTTTTCCGGTTTTAACGTAATTATTTTTTGACGCTCAAAGTTTTCTGATGTGAGAAAATTCCTGGATTTCTTTGTGAAATTTTGAAAAGTTAAAATATTTGGTACATTTTACAAAATTTGGTTGAAAATGTCATTAAAACTTGTAATATGACTGAGTTCAAACTACAGTAAAACTAAGACTAAACCTGGAACTAAACCCAGACTAGACCAGGACTAGAACGAGATTAGACCAGGACTAGAACTGGACTAGAAGAGGACTATATGAGAACCACATCAAGTCTACTTAAGGACTAAACCAGGGCTAGACCAGGACTAGACAAGCACTCGAACTGGACTTGAAGAGTATCAAACCAAGTCTACTTCAGAACTTAGCACTAAACCCGGGACTAAACCCAGAAATGAACCAGGACTAGACCAGGACTGGACCTATAGTCAGGCCAAGTCTACATCAGGACTAAACAAGGACTAGACCATAACTAGACCAGTAGTTAACCAGGACTAGAGGAGGACCAATCCAAGTCTACTTCAGGACTAAACCAGGTCCAAACGCAGGACTAAACCAAGGGCCAAGACATGTCTACCTCAGGACTAAACCTAAGACTAAACCTAGGACTAAACTAAACTAAGGACTAAACCAAGGACTAGGACCAGACAAACCAGGACTAAGGACTATGTCTACTTCAGGACTAAACTCGGACTAAACCAGGACTAAACCAGGACTAAACCAAGGACCAAAACAGGACCTCAGGACTAAAGACTAAACCAGGACTAAACCAGGACTAAACCAAGGACCAAAACACGTCTACCTCAGGACTAAATTAGGACTAAACCAGGACTAAACCAAGGACCAAGACATGTCTACATCAGGACTAAACCAAGGACTAAACCAAGGACTAAACCAAGGACTAAACTACCAAGGACTAAACCAAGGACTAAACCAAGGACCAAGACATGTTTACCTCAGGACTAAATTAGGACTAAACCAGGACTAAACTAGGACTAAACCAGGACTAAACCAAGGACCAAGACAGGTCTACCTCAGGACTAAACCCAGGACTAAACCAAGGACTAAACCAAGGACCAAGACATGTTTACCTCAGGACTAAACCAAGGACCAAGGACATGTCTACATCAGGACTAAATTAGGACTAAACAGGACTAAACAAGACTAAACCAGGATTTCTTTGTCAAATTTGAGAAGTTAAAATATTTGGTACATTTTACAAAATTTGGTTGAAAATGTCATTAAAACTTGTAATATGACTGAGTTCAGACTACAGTAAAACTAAGACTAAACCTGGAACTAAACCCAGACTAGACCAGGACTAGAACGAGATTAGACCAGGACTAGAACTGGACTAGAAGAGGACTATATGAGAACCACATCAAGTCTACTTAAGGACTAAAACCAGGGCTAGACCAGGACTAGACAAGCACTCGAAACTGGACTTGAAGAGTATCAAACCAAGTCTACTTCAGAACTTAGCACTAAACCCGGGACTAAACCCAGAAATGAACCAGGACTAGACCAGGACTGGACCTATAGTCAGGCCAAGTCTACATCAGGACTAAACAAGGACTAGACCATAACTAGACCAGTATTTAACCAGGACTAGAGGAGGACCAATCCAAGTCTACTTCAGGATTAAACCAGGTCCAAACGCAGGACTAAACCAAGGGCCAAGACATGTCTACCTCAGGACTAAACCAGGACTAAATGAGGACTAAAGGAAGGACCAAGACATGTCTACCTCAGGACTAAACCAGGACTAAACTAGGACTATACCAAGACTAAACCAAGACTAAACCAGGACAAACCAAGACTAAACCAGGACTAAACTAAGACTATCAAGACTAAACCAAGACTAAACCAAGACTAAACCAAGACTAAACCAGGACTAAACCAGGACTAAACCAGGACTAAACTAGGACTAAACCAAGGACTAAACCAAGGACTAAGACATGTCCACCTCAGGACTGAACTAAGACTAAACAAGGACTAAACTAGGACTAAACCAAGACTAGACCATAACTAGACCAGTAGTTGACCAGGACTACAAGAGAACCAGTCCAAGTCTACTTCAGGACTAAACTCGGACTAAAAAGAACTAAACCAAGGACCAAAACATGTCTACCTCAGGACTAAACTAGGACTAAACTAGGTAAACCAGACTAAACAGAACTAAAACAGGACTAAACCAGGACTAAACCAAGGACCAAAACACGTCTACCTCAGGACTAAACTAGGACTAAACCAAGGACTAAACCAAGGACTAAACCAAGGACTAAACCAAGGACCAAGACATGTTTACCTCAGGACTAAATTAGGACTAAACCAGGACTAAACTAGGACTAAACCAGGACTAAACCAGGACTAAACCAGGACTAAACCAAGGACTAAACCAAGGACCAAACATGTCTACATCAGGACTAAATTAGGACTAAACCAAGGACCAAGACATGTCTACATCAGGACTAAATTAGGACTAGGACTAAACCAGGACTAAACCAGGACTAAACCAGGACTAAACCAAGGATTAAGACATGTTTACCTCAAGACTGAACCAGGTCTAAACAAGGACTAAACTAGGACTAAACCAGGACTCAATCCTCGACTCGACACTACACTAAAACACGACGTAAACCTCCATAAATCCTCTTTAAAAACACATTTATCAGAACCCGTGCCTTATATTTTCTGCCCTCTCGGTCCCACAGAGGAAGTGCCCGTAACAGCCAATTTAAGACACATTCCAGTCGAGTCTGAAGGCGGATCTGAAAAAAACTATAAAAACTCTGGGGTTTGTTTACGCTGCGGAGGCGCCGAGCGTGGTGTGAACGATGCTCGCGCGTCGGCTCCACTGATCGCGAGCTCCGGGTCATTAGCAAAGCACGCTATAGGAAGTGGAGAAAACATCAACTCCGCCGAGAGTCACTGAAGAACCGACAGAAGAACCGTGTTTACTTGTTTTGTTTGTTCGCGCTAATAAAGTTTGGGCAGTTTTGAATAGAAAGTTGTTGGGAGTTGTCAAAAAAAAAAGGTTCATTTGGTCTTAAAGAAGTGAATATTTTTGGTATTTTGTTTGTAAAATGGTCCTAATAATGTGGTACCAAATGGAAAAACTACAACCGGGACCAAACCTGGACTAGATCAGGACTAAACCTATAATCAAGCCAAACCTACATCAAGATCAGACCAGAACTAGACCAGATTATTAAGAGGAGCCTTGTTTTGTTTGTTCATGCTAATAAAGTTTGGGCAGGTTTGAATGGAAAGTTGTCGGGAATTTTCTAAAGAGGTTCATTTGGTTTTCCTTAAAAGGTGCATTGTGTAACTTTTCTCCATGGAAGAGGGGATTTTTAAAGTCACAAATGTTAAAATCACAAATGTTAAACTTTCTCCTTTATATTAGTAATTGTAGTCCAGTTGTAGTCCACTTGTAGTCCAGTTGTAGTCCACTTGTAGTCCAGTTGTAGTCCAATTGTAGCCCAGTTGTAGTCCACTTGTAGTCTAGTTGTAGTCCAATTGTAGTCCAGTTGAGTCCTTTTGTAGTCCAGTTGTAATCCAATTGTAGCCCAGTTGTAGTCCAGTTGTATTTCAGTTGTAGTCCAATTGTAGTCCAGTTGTAGTCCAATTGTAGCCCAGTTGTAGCCGAGTGGTTGTCCAGTTGTAGTCCAGTTGTACTCCAGTTGTAGCCGAGTGGTTGTCCAGTTGTAGTCCAATTGTAATCTAGTTGTAGTCCAATTGTAGTCTAGTTGTAGTCCAGTTGTAGTTCTAGTTGTAGTCCAATTGTAGTCCAGTTGTAGTCCAGTTGTAGTCCAATTGTAGTCCAGTTGTAGTCCAGTTGTAGTCCAGTTGTAGTCCAGTTGTAGTCCAGTTGTAGTCCAGTTGTAGTCCAGTTGTAGCCCAGTTGTAGTCCAGTTGTAGTCCAGTTGTAGTCCAGTTGTAGTCCAGTTGTAGTCCAATTGTAGTCTAGTTGTAGTCCAGTTGTAGTCCAATTGTAGTCCAGTTGTAGTCCAGTTGTAGTCCAATTGTAGTCCAGTTGTAGTCCAGTTGTAGTCCAGTTGTAGCCCAGTTGTAGCCAAGTGGTGTAGTCCAGTTGTAGTCCAGTTGTAGTCCAATTGTAGTCCAGTTGTAGTCCAGTTGTAGTCCAATTGTAGTCCAGTTGTAGTCCAGTTAGTCCAGTTGTAGTCCAATTGTAGTCCAATTGTAGCCCAGTTGTAGCGAGTGGTCCAGTGTAGTCCAGTTGTAGTCTAGTTGTAGTCCAGTTGTAGTCTAGTTGTAGTCCAGTTGTAGTCTAGTTGTAGTCCAGTTGTAGTTCAGTTGTATTCCTGGTCCAGTCCTGGTCAAGTCCTGGCCTAGGCCTGGTTTAGTCCTGGTTTAGTTCTGGTCCTTGGTTTGTTTCTCTTTTATAGCTGAATGTTGTGAATGTTTATTTAATTAAAGGCACAATGTGTAGCTTCAGTTTCAGTCTTTTTTGTTTTAGCAGAGCAACATTTTCTTCAGGACTAAACAGGACTAAACCAAGACTTTTTGTACTTAAACTGTGAAAATACAACTTGCCGCACTTAAGATCATAAAAACAACAACTCTTTGCACTTTAAATAAAACAAAAAAAAATCAAATGTTGCTTGAATTAAGTGAAACAGACTTGTTCCATTTGTCGTTATTTTTCGACTCAAATAAACTCAAACGTTCTTTATTTACGTCATTTTTAAGTATGTAGATCAATATTGCTTTTTGTAGTGTCCAGTTTCAGTCTTTTTTGTTTTAACATCGATGTATTTTCTCCAGGTTTTGGGCAGTTAAAATCGTGTTAAACGTGATAGCGGTTGGTTAGCCTGTTAGCTTGTTAGCCCGTTAGCCCATTAGCTTGTTAGCCCGTTAGCAGCTAAACGT